GGCTTCAACATTGTGTTGCAGGAGCTGGACAGGGTTTACCAGTATGATAGCAGGGTCGAGATGCCGAAGGCCTTCGAGCGCTTCTTCTACGGCGTCAACCGGCCCTACGGCCAGACCCTCATCCAGTACTGCTCCGAGGGAGGCCGCGAGGGAGCTGGAACGGCACGACGTGAAGCTCCCAGATCCTGTTGGAGGTTGGTTGCTGCTGAGAAGAGCAGCCCTTACGGCCGAGCAGAGACAGCTTGTGATGAGCCAAGTGGACAGCAAGAAGCTCAGCGTGAACACGGTCGAGCAAGCACTTTTCTACTTGTTCGGCCAGGACTACCGCACGAGCCGGACTGAGCCCCGCCCAAGCGGAAAAGGTCGAGGAGTCCACCCTCACCGTTGGAGTTCCTACCGCGGCCACTCCCCAACGAGTACTACGAGCCGGAGTACCACGAGGACTCCCCCGAGGCCCAGTACTATGAGGAGGAGCCGGACCACTACGAGGAGGAGGACCCTGAGGTCGCGGATGCTGACCCCTATGACGGCAACTATCTGGCCGACGAGGGCGAAGGGGACGAGGTGGCGGAGGAAGCCTACGCTGCCTACCTGCATGCCAGGCGAAGATTTGCCGAGGTGAAGGCAGGCCGCGGCTACTATGCAGTGGTGGCCATGGTTGACCCTCCAGGAAATCAGATGCCGATTGCTGCGATGCCTGGAAAAGGGAAGCCTTCAAAAGGAAAAGGGAAGCTTCAGGGCATTGCCCGGGGGGCAGCCCGGGCAGACTCCACCAGATGCCTCCGTTGTGGACAGGTCGGACACTGGGCTTCGCAGTGTCCGAAGCCTCCTGCCCCGCCGAGCCTGGTGACACCCTCGTCGCCGAACAAGAGGCCCAAGCAAGGAACAGCCATGATGGCTATGGGTGCCAACTCCTCGTTGGCACCTCGCCGCTTCGGCCTTCTATGGTGGGAGGCCACGACTATGTCATGGAAGTCATCTCGGAGTATGTCTCGAAAGGCCTCGACCCCGAGACCCTCGCCTTCTGGAGCGTGCACCTGGAGCAATGCCGATTTTGGTCGGAAGGCCCCTCCTAAAGGCATTGAAGGTGAAGGTGGATTACGACACCGACATGGTGTCTGTGCTGGGCGAGCCGTGGACAACGGTCCTAAAAGGGCCGAAGGGAGAACATCTCCTAGCCCTGGACGACGGCATGAACGAGGACACCCTCGTCGATTACGACTTCGACTATGTCACCGACGACATGCGTGGAGGATTTCCTCGCCGACGGTGTTCTCCACAGCCTCGGGGACTACCTCAAGCAGTCGGGCCGAGTAGGCCCTGTCTTCATGGATGAGATTATGTTGGAGGAGGACGAGCCGACTATCAACCTCCTCGACGACAATGCTCAGGAGCTGATTCGGGAGAATTCCAACCTCACGCCCGCTGTCGAGCGGTCCCCGCTGCCCGCTGCCTTGTGGAAGAGCATCATTTTCGGCATCAACCGCTCTAAGAACAACATCAACAGGCAGCTCGAGGCTACCTACCGAGCGTCGGACGAAAGCTGTGCTAACTTCTGGGAAGTCTACAGGCTCCAGCAACCTAGCCGCTGCCATGCGAGAGTATGGCCTTCCAGACCCGGACCTTCGATCTGCCGGAGTGGAACTTCGAGGATGCCAGCCATAGACGATCTTTCTTCGAGTTGCTGGAGAAAGAGACGCCGCATATCGTACGGTTGGCCCCTCCCTGCACCAAGTGGTCACCCCTGCCAGGAGGACCTCGACGTTCTACAGGCAACCAGGGACTTTGAGCGCCATACTCACCTCCTCTTCGTGAGACGAGTTTTTGAGGATGGCTCAACTGGGCATAGCCGTTATTGAGCACCCCCAGAATTCCAAGGCTTGGAGCACCCCGGCCTTACATGACCTGGGTTTGGAGGTCATCGTGGACCAGTGCGCTTTGGGAGCTGCCCTACCGGATGCCTACGGGAACCAGATCCCCATCAAGAAGGCTACGCAGCTGGTAGTGAAGCACCAGCTGCTCACGGAGACTACAGGTGTGATGGAAGCCACCGCCACCAGACCCTGGCTGGATTGACCGGGATGATTGGTTCAAGGGCAAGGGCGGCTGGAGTTTAACAGCCGAAGATGTGCGGCTTCATTGCTGAAGCCCTACAAGGTGCCTACTACGCCCACTTTATCTACGGCAACTCTACGGCAGAAGAGGCACTCCCAGCCTCTGACGTGGACATGGAGGAGTACGAGCCATCGGAAGCACCACCAGAGGATGACGATCTCTACCCCCTCAAGACGGCCGGCGACCTCAACGACATCGACCTCCCGACCAACAAGGACATTGAGGCAGAACGCCGTTTTTTTGGACGGGGCGAACCGAGGGCGGAAATAGACCCGACACAGTCAGAGTCTACTTCCGCACATCCCATTGCACAACCAGATCCACCACAATCAGAGTCTACTTCCACACATCCCGTTGCACAACCAGATCCACCACAATCAGAGTCCACCCCGACGTCTGTCAAGCTCACTGGGTGTCTCCAAAAGCTAGAGTGCAGGACACCAGCAGAGGCTCAGCGCATTGTTGCCCGTCTGCACAGGAACCTTGGACACCCCAACAATCGAGATCTACGAGTGGTGTTGGCACAGAGTGGAGCCAACAGACTGGTGGTTGAGACAGCCGAGAACCGAGAACTACCAGTGTCCCACGTGTCGGAAGCTGGCGCCCCCGGTACAGGTTCCAAAGACTACACTGCGGACCACCTTCCGCTTCTCAACGAAAGGCTGCTCTCCGACACGGTGTGGCTACAAGTGCTGGACAAGACCGTCCCAGTCATCACCATGATGGATGCTGCGACCCGGTATGTTGCCGCTCGAGTGGTGCGAAGGGAGGCCTCCACTGACTTCCTACAAGCTCTGGAGAGGGGTTGGATCCGTGTCTTTGGTCCACCGAGGACTCTGTTTGTCGACAGCCACCGTGCATGGGGGAGTGATGAAGTGATGCGCTACGTGACCGAGCAGGGGATTGAGCTGGTGATCTCCCCTGGCGAAGCACATGAGCGCTTGGCTCAACTGGAGTCAGAGCCTCTCGGTGGGCGGCTTCAGCCCCACGCAATGGGTTCTTGGCTATACCAGCCCAACATCCCTGACAGCCTCCTGGACTCCAACGTCAACTACAGCCACCTGGATCCGACCGAAGCCTTCCAACACAAGATGCAGTGCAAGGCGGACAATGACTTACGCCTGCGACAGGCACTACTGAGGCAGCACCGGGGCAATCCGCCGCGTATGCTGGTTGGACAGAAGTGCTTCTACTGGCGTGAAGCTGCGGGAACTTGGCCCACTCAGACGACGAGGCCATGGACGACGATAATGACAACCCGCCGCCTCGGTGAACGGAGTTTAAGGCAGAACTA